GCCTAAGAGGACTAATATTAAAGAACGGAGGGAGTATATAAAAAGAAAACAAGTAAACAACAAATAAAGAAAGTAAAAGAAGTAAAAAAAAGAGAAAGTAAAATCAACCAGCAAAAGTAAAGAAAATAAAAAACAAAAGACAAAGTAAAACATAAAAGAAATGAAGCAGTTCAACAAAAAAACGAAGCAGCGAATGAATACAAAAAAAAAAGAGTAAGCAGCGGATAACACATGGATGAGCCGCTGAAAAAAAAAGGTGAATTAAAAAAAAAAGGCAGCGGCCAATGACGAGCGTGAGTGGAGCACGGAAGGATGAAGCTCAATCTATTTAATTACAAAAAAACCGGGTGTACATACACCCGGATGTACCATATAATTTGCGCCAAGCGGTCTCACGTATTAATTACGTAGTATTTTATTTTTCTCCCTAAAACTTTTCCCTTTTATTTTTATCGCATTGACTCATTTATTCCACTTTTTCATCTTCTTATTCTTATTTTTGTTTCTTTTCAATATTTTTTCAATGTTTATGTATTCCATTTTTCCTTCTTTTTCTTTTTCCCGTTTATTATTTCATTTTCATTTTTATATATTTATTTGGATTAGTTTTCTTCTTATAAAAGATCTTTTTCTCACCATATTAACTTTTTTACTATACTTTCTTTACTTACACTTATTTTTTCATTTTTACTTTTCCTACCTTTATTCCACCACTAATATTTTATTGATAAAATAGTCCCAAAAAAGGACTAAATCAATCTCTAAATGCACAAATAGGACTATTTTATTTATGTTCCCAAAATAGGATTAAAGTACATTTTATCTTCTTATTCTACAATTCTACACTTACCATAACTCAATAGGATAATCATATTTTACATTATAATAAAAAAGAAAAATAACAAAAAGTATTTCAATTTATAAAATATAGTAAAAAGTTAAAAGTATTTTTTTAAATAATAAAATAATAAATAGTAATAAAAATAGTTTAAATAATTTTTTTAAAGTAAATAAAATAGATAAAAAACCTTAAAAATATAAAAAAAGTTGGACACCTTTCCCTCATCCTTGCCACCTCCCAGCAATGCCAACTCAGATCGGCGAAAAAATGTCATTTTGTGTAAACCCTACAATTTTTTCTCTGAAAATGCCATGAATATGACATTTTTACTAATTGAAAATGTCAATTTTTTTTAGAAAACTGTCATCGTGATGGCATTACTAACACATGTTGACATTTTTTCCGGTGGTCGGCTCTGATGGTGTTGGGAGGTTGTTGAAGCGGCGGCAGATGCCTGCATTTTTTATTGCTTTTTATTTTAGTTTTTTAATTTAAGTTTTTGAGTTTCTAATTTTATAAATCTCATTTTTATAGTTAGTTTTATTAATTTTATTAATATTTATTTTCGTTTTTTCATTTTTCTACATTTTTATTATAAATAAGGTTATGTTATTACTTTTATGTTTTAATTATTAATGAAATAAAAATTGCACTAAACAAAGCAATGATAGAATTGGATAGCGTCCTATTTAAGGAATTTTGAAATTATACTCATATTCTTGCAATTAAAGTTTCATTACATACAATTTGAGAAATGTCCCCTATTTTTTTCCTTTCTAAAAAATTCAAAGAAAAAATATAAACAAGTTGTCCGGAAAAAGTTATAAAAAGAGACTACAACGAATAGGAATACATAAAAAGGAAAGAAAAATTTTAGGAAGAAAAAATAAAAATTATATGTTGGACTGTTTAAAAAAGATTTGTAGAAGGTGTGGTTTATGGTTAAATGATTTGCAGAGAAAATGAAAAAATCTGGAATAGTAGGTCATCAACCGGCCAAGGACCAACGAATGAAGATAAGGTGCAAAGGTTGTATTATTCCTGAATTATGATAAGGTAGGACTATTGTAAGAAGACCGCTAAAAGGTTGGGTTTTTAGTTTTCATTTTCCTATTACAAAAAAGCTACCCTATTGAAGTGTACATAACACATATAAGAATGTCTATAAATAAGTACTACCTCCGTTCCATTTATATTGTCCCGGAAGAAGGTAGCACGGTTATTAAGAAAAGTGGATTTGTATGGTTGATATTAATTGATAAAGTAAGAATAAAGTAAGAATGATTTAGAGCCACAAAAACTTTGACAAATATGGTTTGGGACAATTTAAGTGGGACTTTCCGAAAAGGTAAAATGAGATAATATAAATGGGACGGAGGGAGTAGTTGTTAAAAAAAATTAAACAATGATAGAGAAATGTTACATAAATCTCCTAGTTTTCGGAGCTCCCACTTTCTTGATCAGTTGTTGACACCTCTATGAAGTGGCTGGTCGGTGCTATGTTTAGTTCTTGAGTTCACCGGCGGGCCTTCAACCAATCGTGGAATTACATGAGAGTCTCAAGATATTGCGCATTCAATCTGGTTCTATAATCGGTCAGAATGTTGCTAGATTCACTAAAATCTTGTTCCACGACAATCAATGAAACTGGCATGGAATTGAAGCATTAGACCCTCATTTAAATATAGTTGTGCAACATAGTTAAATGAGACTTCTAATTGATTTGCTCACTATGAAAGATTAGTTGTTATATATGCTAATTTTTTATTAGAAGAAAGAACAAATATCCCTTCAATTTTATGTGTGAAAGTAAATATACACTCCAATATTATTTTGAAACGATTAACCACATTATTTTAAATTTTGTGTAAATATATCATTGAGTTATATATTAGAGAACATATATACGCCTTGACTATATATCTCCGAATAAATATACATCAAAACCATTTAGACAAATTGGTGTATTTGTTTTCACCATTTTTGTGTTTAATTGTTCCAAATGAAAATTGAGGGAAGGGTACATTTGTTTTCAAACATATAATTCAAACATATATCTACGCTTTCTCACATTTTTAATTAGATGTAACGTGTATTATATGGTGCCATATGTGATTAATTTGCAACTGAATTTAAAGTTATATGAGAGAAATGGATCAAATTAAAGATACATGACTCAGTTAAAGTGTGCCAACAAGTTAGGTAATTGCCCAATGTACACTATAAAAACGAGGTAAGGATCAATTGAGTACATCAACTTGTATGAGGTGGAGTAAAGAGTACATTATATTACATTTGATCTTCTTAAGTACACAAATTCAAATTTTTAGTGTTAATTGAGTACACCCGTAAGATTGACATGTTAATATGACTCAGTTGGCTTACAAAATGCTAATAGGTCAACTTCTTGAAGGTCGACGCCAGCCCCCAACCACTTAATCGACTTCCCCTTGATCAATGCACACCTGCTGGCCAACGCCCCCCGCAGGTCAACCTCCGAATGTCGATTTTCCCTTTTTGGTCAACTTCGTGAAGGTCGGCACCATAACCTTGGTCCATTAACCCTTCTTACTCAACATTCTGTTAGCCAACTCAGTTGTATTAACGTGTAAATCTAACAAGTGTACTCAATTAACACTAAAACCCCAAATTTGTGTACATAAAAAGATTAAATGCAATATAGTGTACTCTTTACTCTACCTCATAAAAGTTGGTGTACTCAATTGACACTTTCCTCCTATAAAAACTCTAATTTTGCACAAAAGATTGTCACAACTACACTGTGTGATAAACTTGTGATGGATACATGGAAGAAAAGTTGTCACTGATATATATATGTGAATAATAAGATGCATTTAATTAGTTCATCCCATAGGATGGATTTGAAAGAACCTCTTGGCCTTGTGCAACCACAATTGCGGATCATTGCCATCGAACTTTGAATGTTCTATGTGCGCAGTTGGATTATAAACATTGTTGGTTGAGTCATGGTGTAAAGGATTGTAAACATAATTGTGCCCCCTAGGTCAGTACCAATTCCATTCTCCTTGTCTCTGACGATCTGAGCCTGTTGTGGGATCATCAACGCTTCCAATTGTTGTTTGATCGCCGCAAACCCCTCATCAACTCGGCTCAGGTGTTCATTGACGAATTCCCTTCGAATGCCTTGAAGCTCTTCCCCGTGTTTCCTCTATGTAGCGAATAAGTCGTTCATAAGGGTTTCTGTCATCATCGTTCAAGTCACATAACAGCCGGGGAAGTATGGGCTCTGATACCAAATGTTTTAACCGAAGACAATTAGCAATTGAACGGGAAACTAACAAATAGCTTAACATAGATCAGGAGTTCATTTTTTAAACAAATGTACATTAAAAATAATAGGGGGGAAATGAGTAAGCAATGTTACGCAGGTAGTCTGCTTGAGTAGATCGAATGAGCACACCTCAGATTTAATAAGACTATTATTGATTGGAGGGGAAGCAAGGGTGTTAATTCGAAGATGCACAAGAGGGTTTGCCTTTTTACATATCAACTGCCCTTTGTCCGTCATTTCTCCTGTGTGTGAAGGATGTCCGAAAATGCGAAAATGCTGGAATCTGATCACGCTGTTTAGTTCTGCTATTATTCAATCACACTATTGAGACCTTACAAATATAGTGCAAATAACAATCATTAACTCGGGGTAAAATAACACGTGTATCAGAACAATAATAAAATGTCCAACGACCAAACAATATAGTAAATATATTCTATTTGATAATTAAAATGGTCATAATCATCAATTGAGGCTTGTGATCCTCTAAAACATCCATGGAATCCATCTCAATCATTCTTGCTTGATTTGAAAAGCTCGAAAAATGAAACCTTAGTTGCACTAGTGAGGAGACACCACATCGCTCGCACCAGGAGGTGAGAAACCCTAGTTCGCCCGAAAGGGCGATAAAAAATACCGAGGAATTCGTCTCATAACAAGAACTTGGAATCAAATATTTTCAGGGATTATAATCAAGTATTATAAGTAATATTAAAAAATTCTTATTTTTAGAATTATTTTCTAAACGAATTATAGTATCACCTGAAAGATAATGTAACATTTTGGATTGAGATAATGTAAAATTCGACCTCCCAACATCCTTGAGTGTGACCTCTCCTAACATGTCACAAGTGTTAACTGATCTAATCTCAGAGATGGCGATGCAATGCTAGAAAACATCTCATTTGTAAATTCCAGCACCCCCGAATTATCTCCACTCAAGTTACCAACAATCGGATCGTCTTCTCATACCCCGCCATGGCTACTGTTACATCATCAAGCGCGACAGCTTCTGTCCTAATCTCCTCACGAACCCCTTCTCGAACAGCCTCTGTCCCGATTTCATCACGAACCCCTTATCTGCTCATCTCCAACACTGTCCTAACATCTCCCCACATCATCAAATTCCGAACCCCAAACTCCCCACTCCTTTCTGTAAAATGCTCTCCCGATTCCACCACCATCGTCGGCGAATCTCAGTCTCCCGCTGCCAATTCAGTTCATTGCGATGAAAATCTCGACGAGAGCGCCGCTCTCGCGATGTCGAAAATCGGGTCGAGGGTTAGGGTTACGGCTCCGCTGAAGGTTTATCACGTGCCTAAAATGCCCGAGTTCGAGTTGGCCGGCCGAACCGGGGTGTTCAAACAGTACGTTGCGGTGCACAAGGGGAAGGAGATCTCGGCCAACCTGCCTTATAAAGTGGAGTTCCTGCTGGAAGGTCTGGACGGCCGCAAGGGACCCCTCAAGTTCTTCGCCCACCTCAGGGAAGACGAGTTTGAGTTTCTTGACTGATCCCCCTCCCCCACCCACACCCCCACCATTTCTGGTGATTATGCCCAATTAGTGGATTGATTTGGATAACATGTACCGCTGCCTCTGTGAATTGTGGATAACAGATGAAATGCGTCTTGCTGTATTCATATTAGCTTGTTCCCTTTGACGAATTCACGAATTGCAGTAGTAATCCCTCAGTCCCTCCATATGAAAATGATCCCACATTTCTTGGTTAAACAAATTGCTTTCATGAATTTTTATCATATTCAAATACTCTTTTTGGTTTTCATTATGATTTGTATACCACAACATCCAAGCTTTCCAAGCCTTAGATTGTACCTTTCCTCCTCCCATAGGACTTTGACAATTTTACTTTTTTGTTTTTCGGAAAAAACTGCTACCTTTTTCCCCAAAGTAAAGTAGACAATGTCCAACGGTGGGAGTATATAGTTCCTAAACATGTGAGAATTGGTAGTTTTATAGCCTATTGGGCAATCATGCACATCAATTTGCAATAGATTTAGACTATGTTTGGGTATTCGCATTTCACCCAAAACTGGCAAAACATAATATTACTTCCAAAAAACTTTGTTGCTTTGTTCATCTCTCTCATTAACTCATTTGCTAATCCTCTACTACACAGTTTGGGTGTTGGCAGTTCACCCAAAACTGGCAAAACATAATATTACTTCCAAAAAACTTTGTTGCTTTGTTCATCTCTCTCTCTCATTTGCTATTATAATTTTACACCAAACATAAAATTGGCAAAATTGTTCGTTGGCAGTGTTTTCAATGAACTAAAAACCAAGCTAAGCCTTAAAGACATTCGTGATCAAAGAAGTTTGGTAGTTTTAGAGCCTATTGGGCAATGATGAAATCAATTGAATTGACTGAATCCGTTGAAATTTATGAAGTTTTGGTTAAATTAATTAAATCTATTTAATTATTTTATATAAGAAATTAAAAAAAATGATTTTTTTTTTATGAAAAATAACTTGAATTGCCTTCAACGGTAAATTGAACGCATTGAATAAAAGGTTACATATTTACTGAAAAAGTTTTGATTAATAAATCTAAAACAGAGGTCGCCAACCGAGCTCCTAGAATATAATAGTTTCTCTAAAAACAATGAATTCTTTAACATATTATTTCTCTAAAACTTGATCAAGTTTAACCGGCACGAAGATTAATAAGTGAAAATTGTGAGGTTGAAGTTTGTGCAGAAGATAAAGAACTAACTAGAACTAAGAGAAAATCGTGAGGTTGAACTGTTGAAATTTGCCATTTTATTTACTTAAATAGGAAAGTGGCAAATTTTGCGAGATAATAAAAAAAGAAAAGATGACACAATTTTAACGGACCAACGGAATACTAAATATAGGCTAACAACTAACCTCTTGCCCCACGTGATTAGCGACATTCTAGTGAGACCACTTGTAGTGAGACCATTTGTAGTGAAAGGTTTTTAGGAGTCCAGAAAGTTAAATGTGGAGCTTATGGACTCTTATTTGCTTACATTGGAGTAGTAAAATGACTAAATGAGGTTTAAACTTTAAAATGTATAGGGGAGTGAGAGAGTTCAAAAATAGATGAGTTTTAGACAGGTCAAAAGAAAAATAAAAATTCCTTTTGTACACGTTCTTATACACATCAGTAGAACACCGTGTCTGTGAGAGTTTTTTGTCTGTGAATACCAATCTACAGACAAAAACTGACTTGTTTCGTCTGTAGAATTTTCACAGACAAAACAACCCGGTTTTGTCTGTGAACTGGGATTCACAGACAAAAAAATCTCTCACAGACACGGATGTGTACTGGTGTGTATAAGAACGTGTACACCATGAATTTTCCAAAGAGAACAAATGGGAAAAAAGGAACCTACATGTGGTTATTTTTACGCGGGTGATGTCATCCCGCGTAAAAAATCACTCTTTTTAAAAAAAAGAGTAACCTTTTTATTTGTGCTCCATTTTTTTTAATAATATATTAAAACTCATAATTTTTACGATTTTTCATATGACATCAATATTGCATACATAAAGTTTCTAAAAAATTGATGTTTCAATTGCTAGAGAGTTGCTTAGGCCTAAAAAACATGAAACACAAAATTTTAATTCACGATGTCTCCACAAATAACTGAATATTACATGGACTCATTTTATCTTTTCATTAAAAGAGAAAAGGTAAAAAAATGATTTTTTTTATTTCTTAACATCGAAATGTGTACTTTTTAATTTTATAACTTCAGAAATAAAATCAAAGAAAATAAGACTTATAATAATTTAATTAATGTTTTATTAAACTGATATGCAAAAAAATGTAAAATGTATTTTATAAATGGTGCTGGAGTGTGGGGAAAAACGTTATTGACGGAGTCTATACACTGTTTTGATATTGACGGAGTTCGTATTTAAGGTTTTAGACTCCTAACCACTACAAATGATCTTATTTAAGGTTCAACTCATCAATGAACTTTTTTTTTTTATCAAAACTTAAGGATCCATTACCTAATAGAAATATTTTCTATTTTTCCAGAATACATGATAATTGGATAAAGGAAAAGTAGAAAAGTATTTACCTATTTATTCTTTTAAATTGAAAAAATGTCTTTGATTTTCTTTTTAAGTTATAGAAGTAACTTTTTCGTGTTTCCCAAAAAAGAAATATGCAATGTTTTAGTGCATCGAGCACGTTAATAGTTCTAACATGTGTTCAGTTTGGATAACGGAAAACAAAGAAAACATGGAAAACTAGAGAAATAAATAAAAAGACCTTATCATTTGATTTCGCTGGCTACAATGTTTAGGTTATGTTTGGCACAACTAGGTGAAAAGATACTTTTGTGAGCTTTTTAGTAACTTGTAGCTTTTAGTGACTGAAAAGATCTTTAAAAGAAAAGGTGATAGCTGTTTGGTAAAAAGCTGACTATTTGATTTAGTTCGGTTTGGTATACAAGCTGTTAGGACTATTTAATACTAAAAGTCACGAGCTTTTCTCAGATGCTACACCCGGTAGCATCTCAAAAAAGATCTTTTAATTTTTGAAAAGCTCTTAAAAAATGTCATGCCAAACATACAACTAGAGTCTTTTAAGGTCTTTTTAAAGAAAAGAGAAGCTAGAAGGCAGAGGCTTTTGTGTGCCAAACATGGCCTTAGTAATCAAAATAAGCGATTTTCATGAGTGATGGATGAAGTTGGTGAGAAGTGCATGACTGATGACTACATATGTTTTTTATAAAAGCTTTTCTTTAATGAGCCCAGGCTCACACCTTGGACCCGCGAGTCCAGGCCCACGCTGTGAAATAATGAAACAGGATGCTCTCTAAGGAGCCCTGGCAGATATATTTATACTAGAAGAGTTTTATGTTAAGTACAAGAGTATCTCTATTATAATTCTATTACACCCCCTCAAGCTGTGCGGGAGAAACAACGCGCAGGTTGTCCTTTAAAAAATGAAAACGCTGACTAGGGAGGCTTTTAGTAAAAATATCTGCCAACTGTAGATGTGTAGGAACATGTCGAACAATCAAATCTCCATGAGCAACTCGTTCACGAACAAAATGATAATCAATCTGAATATGCTTGCTCCTAGCATGCTGTACTGGATTTGCAGTCAAATAAGAGGCTGAAATATTATCACATAAAAGATGAACAGGTTCGTGTATAGGATAACCAAGCTCAAACAAAACAGATCGGATATGTAGCGTGTCTTGGACAGTGTAAGCAATAGCACGGTACTCAGCTTCAGTGGAGGACTTGGACACCGTAGGCTGCTTTTTAGACTTCCAAGAAATTAAATTCGGACCTAAAAAGACAGCAAAACCTGTGGTAGAGCGTGAGCTATCCGGACACCCAGCCCAATCAGCATCTGAGTAAGCTAAAACACAGGTAGGCCGATCTGAATGTTGAAGCCACAAACCATGATCACGCGTACCCTGCAAGTATCTGAAAATTCTTTTGACTGCAAAAAGATGAGTAGTACGGGGGGCATGCATGAACTGAGACACTAAATGTACTGCATAAGTAATATCCGGCCTTGTCAAAGTTAAATACTGTAACGCACCTACCATACTACGATACTCAGTAGAATCTACAAGTAACTCACCATCAGAGAGAGACAGAGTGGTACGAGAGGCTAAAGGGGTGCGGACAGGCTTAACAGTATGCAGATGAAACCGAGCCAGAAGATCTGTGACATATTTATTTTGAGAGAGAAAAAGACCCTTAGGAGAACGAGATGCCTCAATGCCTAAGAAATAATGTAAATTACCCAGATCCTTCATAGCAAAATGATTAGAAATAACAGATATAAACTCAGTAATAGTAGACTCAGAATTGCCAGTAATAATAATATCATCTACATATAGTAATAAATAAATAATATTATTATTCTGGCGATAAATAAATAGTGAATTATCAGACTTACTACACACAAAATTATGCTGAAGAAGAAAACTACTAAAACGATGAAACCATGCCCGTGGTGCTTGCTTAAGGTGTCACGCCCCAGACCGCGTCTGTGCCACGTGGACAACCGTCGTACAACCCAATAAGAATAACCGCAGTTCATCCTTACCGAATTGCACAAGACGTCCGATAGATACATATGCCAAAACCGATTAGTAAACATACATAACAACATCAACATACAATCAAACACATAGCGGAATATAAGTGTTTAATAAGAACCCACACAAGGGTAAAACAAGAGCTCGCAGGCTCCATTAATTTATAAGTCAAAATAGTTCCATGAGCATTATTTAATTATTTAAAAAAATGGAACGAGAGGAAGCACGAACCACGTCTTCTCTCCATCGATCTCCCGAGCAACGGGTGCAGGAAGTAAGCTCTAGCTTCAACCTGAAAGGGTGGTTCCCCCGAGGGATCAGTACTACAGAAAAGTACTGGTGAGGGCAAACTGTATGTAATGTAACTAACGTTTCTCACGTGAGACCCTCAAAATAGGGTGATAGTATAATTATGGGCATAACTCTTAGCTACCCCTTTTCAAAAACAAAATGTATACATATATACATATGAGTAAAATATCCGGCCCGTGGGCCCATTTGTCTTTCAAATCATTTAGGCGTAACAACCATCTTTAAAATCACCCTTCCCATGTCTTACCCTCGAGTGGAGTCACCCGCAGGCTGACTCACCCGATATCAAAATATAATTACTGTGGGGGCCCTTCGGACTCCCATATCACGGACATGGTTTAAATCAATTCCTAGACTAAGGAAAATATCCTATCGGAAACTCGTCCCCGATCAAGAACGTTTAATCATTTAAAATCATTACCTTGAGGTTCACCTACCTCGAGGACTATCCGTCCTTACAATCATAGTTTACATTCCCGGGGCTAACCCCGCCTTGAGGAGTACGCATACACCCTCATCCTATGTGTAATTTGCTGGAGGTTAACACACCTCAAGGACTACACGGGCCCTTGTTACTATATGCAATTTGATGGAGGTTAACACACCTCAAGGACTGCATTTGCCCTTGTTACCTATGTGTAATTTGCTGGAGGTTAACACACCTCAAGGACTACACGGGCCCTTGTTACCTATATGCAATTTGATGGAGGTTAACACACCTCAAGGACTGCATTTGCCCTTGTTACCTATGTGTAATTTGCTGGAGGTTAACACACCTCAAGGACTACACGGGCCCTTGTTACCTATATGCAATTTGATGGAGGTTAACACACCTCAAGGACTGCATTTGCCCTTGTTACCTATGTGTAATTTGCTGGAGGTTAACACACCTCAAGGACTACACGGGCCCTTGTTACCTATATGCAATTTGATGGAGGATACCACACCTCAAGGACTGCATTTGCCCTTGTTACCTATGTGTAATTTGCTGGAGGTTAACACACCTCAAGGACTACACGGGCCCTTGTTAACGTTTGAGTATAAAGGACTCCTCCTGGTCCTATAGAGTTTTACTCAACCTTACTTGGTCTCGGGTATTCACCCGCCATGTGTAATCTACCACTTACCTCTCCCGGTCGTGGTCTATAATTTCTTTACTAACGACTAGTCCAAGTCTTAGCGTTTAAACCGTATTTAAAGCCTTAGCAACCAATGTGGATGGGTCCCACCCGAAAGGCCCACATAAACTTACTCAAAAACTGCATATTGGGTGTATAACCCAATACCCGGTCGGGTATTACCCATACCCGGTCGGGTATGGTGAGGCAGTAGCCTCTGGAACTGATTTTAGCTAATACCCGGTCGGGTATTTACTTATACCCGGTCGGGTATAGCCTTTGACTTGGCGGTCAACGCCCGTTTGACCGCACAAACGAAGTCCGATTTACGTGAAATTTTGTACACATGTACTTCTTGACTTCCTCAATCCAAAAATACCTTTTTGGGTCCTTGGAACATCATACATAATTAATTATCACATTTTAAATCATCAAGCTTATTTAACATGCCTTTCAACTATATTTTACATATAATCACGGCATAACACATACTTGATTATCTTTAATCATTCAATAAAATATATTCTTGATTACTTTAGGTAATCTATGCCTTACCCAAAAGTTATGAAGCATAAAGCCGTCTTCTCACAACTATTAATAAGTACTTCATACTTATTAATCGTTTATATATTTCGTTCTAGTTTATTCTTCATAACTAGATTTAATTTAATGACATGTATGATTAAGTACTTGAATCCTTCAAGAATACCATCTTGAATTACCTTAGTTAAATCATCCATGATTACCCTTCATCAAAAATATTAATAATTCTTTTACTCATTAATCATGCCATTTTCACATGACTCATAATCATTATAGCTAATCACATGTTTAAACACTTTTAAACATTTTTATACATATTCACATACTAGATTACTCTAGTTATCTCATACATAGTCCATGTATGCATTTTTTATACAATTGACAATAATATATTCATGATTAATCCACAAATAAATCTCTTATTCATTAACCATGTAATATTTCCATAATTCATATTCACCATGACTAATCATGCATTTTAATCCATTTAATCATTTCTCAAATCATGATAAGGATTTTATTTAGGTAATCCCACGTTTGACCCAAGAGTTACAAGACACGTAGTCGTCCACTCACCTTGAAATGACGCTAGCAAGCTTTTATCTTCTTTGTTTGAACTCCGGCGACTTTTGAATTTTTCCGGCGAAAACTCCGGCGGCTCCGGCGGCTTTCCGGCCACTCCTAGGTTCCTTGAGAAGTCTAGAATACCTTGGTAAAATTCCTAACAAGGTTTCACAACCAAAAGTGGTATAAACGTCAAAACCTTCCAAGAAGGTGTTTTCCGGTGAACCGGTCTTACTCCGGCCATAACTCCGTTCATGGTTAAACTTAACCTTCCAAACCCTCATTCTACACCTCTATAAGTGTAGAAAAAGATTAAGGGTCCATCATATGATTTATAAAATCATATAAGATTAAATGGAGAAAAAACACTAATGACGTCATTACCTTGATTTTTCCAAGTTTTTCCTCACTTATACTAGCTTTTCTTCTTCCTTGAGTCTCCTCAAATCTTGAGCTCGGTTCTTGGACATGGATATGAGATGTTGGAGACTTCCTCTCTCTATTTTGGGTGGTGTGGCCGAAGTGGGTAGGGGTGAGGTGGAGGAGACCTTCCTATTTGGTCTTACATGCCATAATAATGGGAGGAGGGTCCCTTTACCTATCATGTGTGTCTCTCCCATCCCCTCACACATCACACACCTCACTCTCATAATCTCATCACTTATTTTTAGACTCAAAAACGTGGGGTGGCCCCCACTCATGTGGGAGGTCATCCCAATATGTCCCGAAGTGTACATTCGGCCCCGAAAGTTGTATTTTCTGGACTGTTTTAATTATATTTCATTTTATCGGGTCAAATAAACTATATATCATTCTTCCAATTAATATTGGCCTCTAGAATGAATATATATTATCCCACTTTAATTTCATGGTCGCCGAAATTAATTTCGGACTGTTATCTGTTTAATTACTTATACCGGTAATGGGACCTTGTTTGATCGAAAGACCAACTTTATCGCTCAACATTAATTTACACCATCATATAAATATTATCTAAACCAAGATGAATATAATATGTGGTCCGTAAATATCGGATGGTCGCCGCCCACGTGTGGGCCCAACGTGTATTTTACTGTTCAAGTAACAGTAAAAATGAGAATGCGTTGCCTCGAAAATTCACTCGTCATTTCTCATTACTTGATATGTGGTTTCATATTTGGTGACACTTTATTAAAATGTTACACATCTTTTAAGTGATCCCAAATGTAAAAAACAGATAAAAGTCTTATCTGTTTGTTCCCAAAATAAAATATCTTTAAGGTAGGGTCCTCCAAAAGTACCCTCCTTTAATATACCAAGTTAATCAATATTATTCATCCCATTATCTTGGTTTCTTAGAACGTTTATATTTCTTCTGTTATAAATTCGTAGTCCTACGAATTATTGACAGTCCGATAATTAAGGACTCCCCACTATCGAATAGTGGCCCTGGCCCGCTCGGCCGTCCAGTTGTCGCTCTTTATAACAATGGGGTCCACGACCCATTCCTACTATCATAAAAGTATTATTTTGGAAAATAGTAATATTTTATAAACTTGAAATACTACGTGTGGTCCCACGTCTAAATTAATAACCCTTTATTAATTTAGGACAAAATTTTACTTTCTCATTTATCGAGACTACTCTTAGTCTCGATTTACCTTCTTTAACCAAGTACTTTACGAAAAAATTTTATCTGGGTAAAATTCGGGTCCGGTGTTACATAAGGCCATAAATAGCCTTACGCAAACGACACATATGAGTAGGAAAATTAGGATGAATAAAACCACGGGGCTGACGCATGTATACTTCCTCTGTCAAGTGACCATGTAGAAAGGCATTCTTAACATCAAGTTGACGAATTACCCACCTAAAAGAAACAGCTAAAGTGAGAACAATACGAACTGTGGTAGGTTTAATGACAGGACTAAATGTTTCAGAAAAATCAATACCAGCCTGTTGATTAAAACCTTGAGCAACTAACCGAGCCTTATGGCGCTCAACTGACCCATCCGAGTGATATTTGGTCTTATAAATCCACTTACAACCTACAATATTTTTAGAGTTGTCAAAGGGCACCAAATCCCAAGTTTTATTATTAATGAGTGCATTAAATTCATCGGCCATGGCCTCTCGCCACTTTAAAAGTTTATTAGCCTCAGTAAAACAAGTAGGATCTGCAGGAACAACAATTGTACTGAGATTAAAAATAACTTTAGGCTTAAAAATTCCTGCCTTGGAGCGGGTTTGCATAGGGTGCTGATTACCAAGTGTAGTGGACACAATTGGAGTGGACGAAGAGGGAATGGCGTCGGTCTGGACCATATCTGGTGGTATGCCGTCGATGGGAAGAATATCAGCCGTAGGAGCCGCGGTCGGAGGAGGGGAAGGCGAGCTGGCAGTCGGCTGGGAAGGAGTAGAGCGAACCGAGGAGTAGGATGAGGGAGGGATATCGGGTTCGGCAGGCTGTGTGTGAGGAGTATGAGGTGAAGAAGGTGAACCGGACATAGTTGACAGTGAGGAAGAGGAAGCTGGAGTGAAGCGAGACAGGGAGGATGACGGAGAGGGATTCGAAGGTAAGTCAGTAGTATCGGTGAGAGTCATCGGGCATGGTGTGAGTTGTGGTGGTGAGGAAGAACTAGATTTCTTAAGAGTTTGAAAGGGATAAATGTCCTCATGGAACCTAACGTGGCGACTAATATAAACACGACCTGTGATAGGATCAAAACAACGATAGCCCTTGTAACCAGATGCATAGCCAAGAAAAACACATTGAACAGAGCGGGGTGAAAGTTTATTAGTAGAAGTAGCTGAAAAATTTGGGTAACAGGCCGAACCAAAGACACGCATAAATGAATAATCAGGAATACGATGAAATAGTCTTTGGTACGGAGATAAACCATTTAGTGTAGGAGAAGGTAATGTGTTAATGATGTATGCAGCAGTAAAAAGTGCATCAACCCAGTATTGATTCGGCATAGATGCTTCAAGTAGCATGGTGCGAGTCAATTCAAGGAGATGACGATGCTTTCTCTCAGCAACACCATTTTGTTGAGGTGTGTCAGGACAAGATTTTTGAAAATAAATTCCATGTGATGAGAGAAATTGCTGCATATTATGATTAACAAATTCACCCCCTCCATCACTTTGAAAGATTTTAATTTTCTGATTAAACAGATTTTCAACCAAAGCTTTAAAATTTTTAAAATGCATAAAAACTTCACTCTTAAGGCGCATTGGGTATATCCAGGTAAAACGAGAGTAATCATCAATAAAGCAAACGTAATACTTGAACCCCAAATTAGAAAGAACAGGAGATTGCCATACATCAGAATGAATAATTTGTAATGGACAATGTGAAAAATGACTAGCATCCACAAAGGGCAAACGTTGTGATTTGCCTAAACGACAAGCCACACACTCATGGGTAAACGGAGAATGACTACATAAAAATTGTTTGCGTTTAAGAAACTGTAAAATATTGTCACCACAATGACCTAGTCTACGGTGCCACACAGGGCCAGAGGCTAAGACAGAAGCTAGAACTAAGGATGAAGATGATGACGATGGCAGGCTGATGGGATAGAGTGGTCCACTACTGGTAGCTTGAAGAAGCACCGCCCCCGAGGCTTTGTCCTTAATAAAAAAAGAATTTTTATCAAAAATTACAGTACAATTGTTATCTGCGCAAAGCCGTTGAATAGAAATTAAATTATATTTTAATTGAGGCACATGATAAACAGATTTTAATGTGAGAGGACGACCAGTAGAAGGTAATGCAACATCACCAATATGAGAAATGGGTAAATGGGCACCATTAGCAACACTAACCGAATTATAGCCATTGTAAACAGACTTATTAGACAAAATACCTTCAGATGCAGTCATATGAGCCGAAGCGCCAGAGTCAGGGTACCATAAGGCTGAATTAGCTTCCCCTGGAGTGGTCAACAAAGCTGGAGCTGACGGTTGAGAAAAACGAGATGAGCATGTGATGGCGGAATGACCTACAGAAAAACAGATTTGACACACAACAGGATGGGGAACAGCCCCAAGAATACTTCCTTCTGATGATGAGCCTGCAGAACTAATGTTAGTAATCGAAATAGGCAAAGCATTAGTATTTAAATGTGACAAAGTAGAATTACAAATAACAGTACCCGTAGGCTGCCCACCCCCGGAATGTGTAGTAGTCCCAACCGACGGCTGCGGTGCACCCCCTCCAGGAGTATAAAACTGATGTCCCTGTGGTGGATACCCGAATGGAGTCGGATACCCAAACTGTCCGTGGTGTACAAACGGACCCTGCTGCCCGCGTCCGCGACCTCGTCCTCGCCCGCGACCGCGCCCTCGACCACGGCCACGCTGCGGTGGTTGCTGCTGAGCTGGATATCGGGACGGTGGTTGCTGTCCGTGCTGTTGTTGCGGACCCTGCTGCGAGGCAGATGGAGAACCGGAGTGAGGAGCAAAAGTAGCAAAGGCTTGATGCATGGACGATGATTCCTGGGAACGGAGATATAGTACCCGCTGTTCTAACTCAAGGAGATGATTACGGAGTGTTTCAAACGGGAAGTTTTGAGGAAACAGCGAGACAGTGGTATATAAAGATTCATACTCAGGACCTAGCCCCATAATAGTAGTTTTAAGCAGCTCTCGGGACGACACCGGGCAATTAATTGTAGCAAGATCATCAAACAAAGTTTTTATCTCCCTTAAGTAACTATCCATGGATTGGTCAGGTTTCTTTTTAACTTGTGAGAACAACCTCTTTAATTCCATAGATCTAGCTAAACTAGCTGACATAAATCGAGATTCTAACCGTTCCCAAATTTGATAAGAATGCTTCAAATCCCGAACATCAATAAGAATATCGCGAGACAAAGTAGCAAATAACCAAGAATGAATTGTTTGATCGATTCTTAGCCATAGTGAAAATTCGGGATTGGGAGATGGACGGTTTAGAATATCTATGGAATGAGAAGGAGGTACCTGAATAGAGCCATCTACCATTCCAAGAAGTGCTTGCGAGACAAGAAAAGATTCAAACTGTGTTCGCCAAGTGGTATAATCTTCAACCGCAAGAAGCTTGGTAGTGACAATATTTGTGACATTAGTGGCCACATGAGAGATAGAGGAGGCTAAATCAGCCAGCGGGGAAGCAGTTGGAACGCCGATAGGTGTTCTCGGTGGTGGTAAAGCGGACGTCACCCCCGGAGAGCCAACGAACGTAGTGCCGGCGTAGGATCCAGGCGAGAAGGGTGGCGGATCCAATGAGATGTGTTGCACCGGCGTTGGGGCTGGCCAAGAGAAAACTGGCGGCATATGCTGAAAGAGAGAGTATGTCCCAGCAGGTCGGTTTGGCGAAGCAAAATTGGAAGCCGACGTGACAGAACTGATGACCGGTTGGGAGCCAGAGAAAAGAGGAGCACCGGTGGGTGGGGGTGGGTTGAAGACCGCTGCAGGTGTCGCGGCAGAAGAAGCCGCTGAAGTTGTCTCGGCGGAGGAGAAAGAAGCCGGCATGGAGGTTGCGGCGGAGCTGATAATCGCAGCCGAGGTAT